GAGGACGAGTGGTTGATGAAGCAGAGAATGATCCTGATTTACACAAAGAAATGGGGAGGCGGGGGGGACCGAGGGGTTGAGGGAGCAGAGGATGGTCCGGTTTCCACACCTGCTTGGTGATGTTGCAATTTTTTTTTGCACATAACAATATCGAAATTATTATATTAACATGAAGCCGTCACATCAGATAAAAAACATGCCACCCCAATTTTGTATCCGGGGTTCGGATAGAAAGGGACAAAAAATGATTAAATTTTCAATTTATAGGACTCAAATTGAAAATGGTCAATGGCGGGGTGGGATTTTAGACAGTAGCCAAGTTACAAAATTAATTTTGAAATTTTACCCTCGGTGTTGGTGCCTCTCTACCTGACTTTGAAGAGCTTTACTATTTAGCTACATCTATACTTATATAAAAAGTCATCTCATTTACTAGAATTAGTAGGAAGAAAAGTCAACTCATAATTAATTGCACAACATATTTAGAAAGTTTTAGATATTTTAAATCATAAAATATGATAGCATGAAATGGACCTAAAATTATGGGTTTTGTTGAATTCATGCATCCAAATTTACGTGTGGTTTTGAAGTGAATATTTGAAATTCAAAATCTCTTCTCATTTTAGTTACAAGAAAATCGGGCTGCATTCAACACTTGGATCAATTTAAAAATTATTCCTTAAATGAAGGAATTTATAGGTAATTGTTATCTCTACTCAATTACATGATTATTTTCAATATAAAAAGAGAGATTACAAATTAGTAAATCATATATTACCTAATTCAATATCTTAACATTAAGGAATAAATCCACAGTATTATGTAAATCCGTATCTCATTTATTATATCATTAAAAATATATTATAGATATATTATCAAATCATAAAAATATATTAAATCCATATTGTAAAAAAATTAATTTATATAATTTTATAACAATTTTACTACATTATTTAACAGTATTTCTTTTTATCATATAATAAAATAATAATTAAATATTATATAGTGAATAACAATAAGTAAAACTGTTACTCTCTCTTATATCAAGGGTTAAATTTATATGCTAAAATTATTTTTTTATTAGTATAAATGTTTTAGTGAGATAATATATTAATTATTTTACAAGCTAGCCCTAACATGTTCATATTTAATGTTCTAGCTAAAAAAACAACACTGGTTAAAAGATGTGGGAAAAAATTTATAATAACCCTATTATTTTTTAGACGTAATGTTGATTAAAAGAGGTAGAAAATAGATATAATCCTATTACTTTTTAGACTTAAATGGACAAGGGTGTGAAAATAACTCAATTAATATTTTTGTCCGTGCATCGCACGAGATACGTACTAGTTATTCATTAAGTAATGACAGATCTACAATTAATAATAAACTAATTATAAAAAAAAAAACCTTTTACTTTAATNATATCACGGTTAAACTAACAAGTTCCTATTAATACATTCTATCAATTTCACAATTTTTGTTTTCAATATTTTTCATACTCTAATTAGGGAAAAAATTCAATGAAAAATTGGGTATCGAGACATTTATGAGAGTAATGCTAAACTGCTGGAATGATTTAAACATTGACTCGTCTAATTCTAATAATATCAAGATCAACACTACAAATTTTGCCAACACAATACGGTAGGACGGTAGTAAAATAATCTAGCAAAGTAGATTAGCGTTAATTTTTTTTTTAAAAAAAAAAACACAGAAGCATAATGTGACATTGAAATCACATAACTAAAACTTATATGAAACTTTTTTTTACATAATTTCTTACGGAAAATTACACCAAAATGTAAAAACACTAAAGGTAGGCATTTCCCAATTTCATAATAAAATACGTGACCATATATTATGAAAGTATTTGTACAGCAGTCAGATTTACGTACATAATAATAATTGTGGTAGCTAGTTAAGTGCTGCATGTTGTACTGTGCTGTTGCCATAACACAAGTTGAAGATTAAATTTATTAATGTTTGACTCAGATATAACATGGAATCTCTCCATTATTTCTCTCCCCTTTATTTTCCTTTAAATAATTTTTCTTTTCCTATTTTCACCCTATATATATCATCATCATTTTGCATCTTCCCAACCATTTCTCATAATCTTCCATTATAATTTCAAACTTAAACACACACACACACACAAACATATCATACTCATTATTCATACTTTCATACACAAAATAGATGGAGTACTCATCATCAAGAAAGTCCTCTAACAAGATTAGAGACATAGTTAGGCTTCAACAAATGCTCAAAAAATGGAAAAATCTCGCGAAAAACAACACGACGACACTTAACGATACTTCCGGCAACAATGCCTCCTCCGGCACCACCACCACCAAAAGCGGCGGCATAAAGTTTCTAAAGAAAACTCTCTCCTTCTCGGAAAAGGAACTTTCCGGAACCATCTCATCCTCATCCTCGTCATCATTCGTCCCCAAAGGCTACGTTGCGGTTTGCGTAGGAAAAGACGAGCTCAAGAGGTTCGTGATCCCAACCGAATACCTAAGCCACCAAGTTTTTGCGATTCTTCTCCGGCAAGCTGAAGAAGAATTCGGGTTTCAGACAGAGGGAGTACTCAAGTTACCCTGTCATGTGGAACTTTTCGAGAAGATACTCAAGATGATGGAGGACAACAAAAGTATGAGACGGTCATCGTCCACGTCATCGCTTGTCTCGTTGAACGACGAGGGGCTCGGATTTTCTGGGGAGATTCGTGACCTCATCAACTACTCGTCACACGTGGATGTCGTTAGCAATGAGCGTAAGCTTCCACCGCCACCTCATCACCATCCTCAGATGTGCAGATAGATATATGTGTTCTTTCTAGTTTGCCCTATTTGATAATTTTTGTTTTATCATCTTATTTATTATTTTCGCATGACGAAAAATTGATTTGTATTTTTGTTGAGATTGATTCATATCGAGTCCATGTAATGATATCGGAGAGGATGATTTATAATGTAATGTGTTGGCTGTCTTGCAACAACTGAGATAGTATAAAATTTTCAGAAGAGAAAAGATGGTGTTATGTTCTGTTTTTCGTTTTTATTGTTTTCCGGCAGCATTAATGTTTGTTTAGTGAACAAATATTTGTAAGTCGATGCACAAATATTTGTATAAAATGTTTGTTTAAAAGAAGCACATTCACAGAAAGAAGAAAAAATGCCGAAGAACAGCAAAAAAAAAAAAAAGGCCCTGCCAGTTCTTTTTTTCATTCTCACAAGTCGCAATCATCCTAGATTAATTGATCGGGAGTGATTAGCAAGTGTTTCTCCATGTTCAACGTATTTGTCCGGTTTTTTCAAAAATTTCATCGCACAACGAACCATCTTCTTGAACTTTCCAGAGTCCATCATCATCTTCATGCCGATAAATAATCGATGTCTGATGGTCGTTATGTAAAGCTTAGGACGATTTTGAAATGTGAACGCTCGTGCTACAATCGTGTCTTTCTGAATTTTGCAGAATGCACAATGAGATTTGGCTCGAAAATTTGTTCCCTGCTCAAATGGGAAAAAGGAAAACTTTAATCTGATTTTTCTGTTATTTCTGGTTTTAAGTTTTAACTAATTGTTTGTGTTCTATTTTATTTTAATCCACAATCAAAAGGTCAGAAAAATGTTAAATGTGGCAGGTGCTATTTCTAGGCCACCCACATTATAACAGACGATCCCTGGAAATAAAGTCAAACCCTCATCTTGTTCTTAAAATATTCACCAGAATATATAAAAAAAAATAAAAATAAAAAAATAAAAAAATAAAAAAAAAAAAAATACTCGGAACAGATGATCAAGACTCGAAACGGTAGCTTTACTTTTCGACTTTGAGTTATTACAATTACAACAGAGGTGCAGCCATGCTAGTCGATAATATTAATCAGTCATTTTTTGTTTTATTTTACAATATGAGCTGTAAAAGATGCAAAATATCCATTGACAATTGCTTGATCCTATGTGTTGCTTGAAAAAAACCAAAAAAAAAATCGGCAACACCTTTATCAACCATTAAGAGCAGCATCATCGTGAGTACTTGTCGACCAGTGCTTTTGCTTTAGCAGGTGCAAAGAATCGTGCCTGTTAATATCCATGACCGGTTAGAGTTGCAGATTTGAGATAAATAAGAATTTCACAGATTTATAACTTTATGTCGATTATATGTATGAAACGAGCATACGGGCAATAATTGTGTCACCTGTATAAACATTCTCTCTGCATCGCCTATATTTCCATTCTCTTTCAAGATAATTCCCTGCAGAATACGGAAAATGCAGCTGTTTAACGAGCTCACTGATAATTTTGCTTAGCATTCATTCAATTAGTTGGTGAATATGGATAACTTCTATAAAATATACCGAGTCTAATGAGAAAATGGAGCAACATGTACAATTTCCTCAATTCGGCTTTCACAACCTAACTTTAACTTTACAGAGGATGGGAATATAAATTTCACAACTAGGACTCATATATATTATACTTGTGACAAAAGAGATCTGACAAGACTATTATGGAAGATTCTAAACATAACTAAGATATATTATAGACGTTTAGGTGAACAATAAGATCTCAACTATACTACAAAATACTTGCCCATCCCACAAAGATAATTTTCAAAATGTTAGTAATCATTACTGTTGGGAAACTAAAAATATACACATAAATTGATTATTATATTATTCAATGACTACGCTATTGGTTGTCATATATATAAATTAAAGAAGGATAACAATGGAACTTAACAATAAAAATAATTGACATTGCCTATTGGTTGTCATATATATATAATTGGTCGTAATATATATAAATTAAAGAACGATAACAATTGAACTTAACAATATAAGTAACTGACATTGCCTATTTTAAAAAATTGGATGATGCATAGACCGAAAAAAAGTAATAAAAGAACCTTGGCTAAGTAACCCCTGAAATCATCAGGGTGGCTAGAGATAAGTTGATCATAAACCAAAATTGCATCACTGATGCGGCCCCAGTCTGAATAGGCTTTTCCCAAAAGCAAGTCAACCTGCAAAATAAGCAATATTCATAACTGGGTCAAGGATGCTGACAGTGAGCCATAACCACATATGCATTAGAAAAACTCACTTGAATCGGATCCACATCAGATCTAATCCCCTCTGTGCTGCTTACAGTCCCACCACTAATCAAAAGTTCACGAGATGATAGGAGCTCTCGCACAGCCTTCAAAAGGAAGCAAATGAATGTAGATCGTGTATGGATGATATACTAACAATGGAAAATGTACGAAACAAATGATAAAGGTTGTCACAACCACCTATGAGAACAACATAACACTAGACTATCTTTCAAGTTTTTTGAAAAGATAATCACGGAGTTAGAAAGCATCATCTCAAATATTATTATTATTCATTTTGCATTCTGAACAGCAACCTCATCAGGTCTTTTGGCAGCCAGCAATGAATTTGTAAGACCTCGAAGGATTTCAAAGTCAACACTCTCGGACGCCTGCTCAAAACAGAAAGAGAGTATTCAGTTTTGGAGCTTATGATCTCATTTNATGATATGAGTCCATAGCATGCAAACCTTCTGAGCACTTCTATATGCAATAATACTTCCTTCGTAATCTTTGAGCTCATATTTGACTTCACCAAGCAAACGAAATGCGTCTGGATCAGTTATTTTCTTCTGCAGAACATAGTAGGCCAAGTTTCAGTTATAATTCCCAATTGGCAATGCCCGTAAGAATTGGAAAAAAAAAAAAAAAAGAGAAATTAATAAATACCTCAGTCAACTTTTCAAGCAATGGTACAGCTTTTTTATATTCTCCCATTTCTGCTAAAGTCACTGCAGCTCCCTACAGAAACCACTTTGAATAATATGAAAGGGTTGGATTAGTTGATAAATGACACAACAGGGTTAATTGAATTCTTTCTTGTGCAGTTTTAAGCTGACAATATTTATTTTCAATCTTAATCGAAAGCATACTGTGATAAATACTTAAACAACTCTAAACTGAGAGTTGAAAAGCATAAGAATTGATGTACAGTGGTCATACTCGTCTAATGGAACAGCATCATTCACGTCATTCACACTTTCCTTTGTTATTCTAGAACTTTACACAAGTTTTCGTTTCTAATTATGAAAAAATTAAATACTACATTAGATCAAGTTTGAATCATGCAATGCACACCTCTTTGAGTATCTCTCTCCAGTTGAGAAAGAACATGCCCAAATCGTACACTTGATCAACAGTACTTTTAAAACGCTAATTTCAGAATTATTCAGACTGCAATGATACCTGATTTTATGAAGTGATTACAGATTTTAACAAACATAGTCCAATTCCCGACAGCTAAAGAGCATTAGAAAAATAAAAGGATTTGCTCTAATAAATACATCACAACTCACTTCAAGAGCAGTTGGATCTTCAGGAGAGATCCCAAGTGTTTCTTCAAACTGCACCAGCCTCTTCTGCAAAAGCATATAATAACATTATGGTACATGGTTCACATCAAGACATAACCATGTTAGAACCTTGCAGATTCTCAAGAAAGATGCAATCAGAGGTGTAAAAAAATGAAAGCTACTGAACGATCTTCTAGATTATGACATGCACCAAAAAAAACAAAATGGTGAAAGAAGGAACAAATTAATACTATGTGAAAAAAGTAAAATCTTGCACCAAAACAGAATGAGTAAACACACACACACACACATATATATAAGTTTGGCTGACTACAAAATTAAACTCGCCAAAAAATCTGAAACATGTGTATGGTACTGCTGCGAGACATTTTAGATAGGCAATTGTCAAGGGCTACCGGTGCACCAGACAACGAAAATGAAAAAAGCAATTAAGCATTAACAGCGTAACCAAACATCTGGATGAGTTGTGATACACNAGCTCAAGTTCAGGGGTCCTGTTCTCACCTCAAGCACTGCTTTTTCCTTTTCTGAAATTTTATTAATGGTGGGACTTTCCTCTGTGGGGTTGACACTGGTTCAAAAGAGTGTATAAGTTAAAAAAAAGATTTCAAAAGGTAGATTCTTCACATTAGTACATCGAAACCAAATGCATGTTGTTTATGAGGCAGAGTGGTTTGACACAGGAGTCGGATCATGCAAAATTGTCAACTCAAGTAAAGACCCACATGGGTTTGATAGCTTAAACCAGATATCTGCATTAGTATTGAATGAGACAATAGATGGATTGAACCTATGGCTAAAAAGTCGAAGAACCTAATTAGCCAGACCAAAGTTGTGGGAAATCACTACTACGACAAAATCCCAACCACAAAATAGCATGAAACAAGTATGTAATTGAATTAAAGATTTTTGTTTTTCATTTTCCAATCAAGTATTCAGTACAAAGCACATACAAGACCATACAACAGGACAATAGTCAATATCAGCTGAACAGGAAATGAAATGAAGAAATTAAATCAACACAAGGAAGGAGCAAACAGAAAATGAACATTTTATTGAATAAATAATATACTATTCAAAGGTTTACGAATCAGATAAATGCAACACAAATAGTGAGAATATTTCGTAAACAGAAGCCACCAAGTACTTGAAGCATATACCTTCCAGAAGGGAGAAAGTCTCCAAGCGCAAATACTAAGCCAAATGCAATAACCGCAACACCAACTCCAACCTAACCACATGTCAATTCTTAAACTAAGCAACCAAAAAGAAACAATGTTAAATATCCTCAGAGAGAAGCAAAAGTACCTTCGTCCCCAGACCAATCGTGCCACTATCCGCCTCACTTGGAGCATCATAATCAATGGCCCCATATTGTTTTTTCTCCTCTGCTTTCTTCTGCTCAAGCGCCGACCTACACATTAAAATATATTTTATGATATGCTCAAAACTCTACAACAAATCAAAACTAGTGTACAATAAGACGCGGCCTCACTTTCTAATCGCTTGGAGACGCTGTTCGAACTCAAGGTCCTCTGAAGAAGTATACCTCGTTCTGCCACCAATTGAAGAACTCAAACCAGGTGCCTCTGAGTAGAGATAAGCGAGAAAAAGGCCATTAATTTGACATTATGAGAAGATAAGCAAACTCAACATGGATGAGCAAGCAAATGATTTTAATGGAAGTTACGATCAGGTATGGTGGGCGATTGCTGCTGCTTTCTGCAAAAAGTTAACAACTTCAGAAAAAATTGGGATTATATTATTGATCCCGAGGAAATTGTATGTGAGGGTTTTGTTACTTGTTTTCAGCCTTCGCCGACTTGGGGCCAAAACCGCGGTTGCGGGGAGACGCGTCGGAGCATTTGATCGGAGCCCGGAAACCCGACTTGGGATAGCTATTTATAGGAGAATTCCGGCAATGGGGCCTCCCGGAGGCGAGATGATAATGGTGGAGCAGCTGAGCTTGAGCAGCAGCCATTGATGTGTTCTGAACTTCTGATAACAGAATATGGCGTTTTTCACCCTTTGAAGCGACTTTTGGCTAAGTCGCCAATTGTATAGGTTGACATTTTCTTCACTAAAACTCAAAGATTGATATAAATAAAATAATTTATGCCGCCATATATATTTTTTATTGAAATATCATACTTTACATCATCAGTATAATATTTTATAAGATGAATAATTAAATGTTCATTTTTGTTAAAAAATTATGACTGCAATGTTTAGGCAGTCTAACAACAACATTTATGATCAAACAAACACAAAATAAAATCAAAAGTCAAAACTACGAAATAAAAGATAGTAAAAAATGTAATTCATTTAATTAGACAATAATTACAAATGAACTCATCACCATTGCAAATTTGCAATATCCATTGGTCGATAACCACCCACAAATAGATATCGCTATCACAACTTACCAGCAAAGTTCGACATATTGAATCCTAAAGCTCGTTTAACTTGATAGATGTAACGTTTTCAAACCTGAAATTTCTAATTTACTCGATTGGTTAGATTTGATGTATAGTCAAAGAGAAATCAACATTTTTAAGAAAATGTCAATCTTATTAGAAAACGGTTTGGATGTTGTCTAGCTCATGGCCGAAAGAATTGGATGGTATGGTAGGTCGAAGAAGACAAGGAAGAAAGCTATAGGTCCATTTGGTTTTTCAAAAAGTATAAAATGTATAAAATAAGATGTCGGAGAATATGTGTTACTTTTAAAAATTGTTTTCTTTAGAAAATTTTGATAATGTTGAAAAATTTAAGTTAAAGAACATAAATTTGTTTGACACTTCAAATCTATATAAAATTACTATGTAATAATTAAAATTAATGTAATATAAGAATAGTATTTGTGGTAGATAGAATTTTAATGATTTCTTTTAGTAAACATTAATTTTGGTTTTAGATTATCTGAATGAGAATAAAGACAGAAAATAAATGAATAATCGTAATAAATAACAACTTAATGGAAAAATGTATGTGGTCACCAAATCACAACCCCAACTAGTAATCAACCTGTGAATTTTCACAGATACGAATATTTTGAAAACATAAAAATATAAAAATAAATCATAATTTAATTCATGAAAAAAATATATGAATTAAGAAAATAATTTTCAAAATTGATTTTGATCAAGTAATTGCTATGGAAGAGCCGTTACAACCATTTTCTTTATGCTAATACCCACAGCTATTTTAATGAGTGGGTGTGATTTAAAATTTGAGTACAATTTTGTAACTCACTTGATTGGTTTATGCTCATAATTTATGACATTCAAGCAAATTATTTTGTAACTTAAAATTTGGAGGGAGAATAAAATTTAATGCATGAGAATAAAATTTAATGCATGGTAATAAAATTAAATATTTTGTTGTTCCTCTTTATATATATATATATAGATACTGCAAACATAAGTTTATAGAAAACCATAAATTAAACCCCCTTTATTTGGTTAAATGCACCAAATAATAAACCCTATAAACATCTCATTCAGACAAGAAAATGAATGAACAGTCGTATTAAATAACAACTTCATGGGAAAATTTATGTGGTCACCAAATCATAACCCCAATATTGCAGACACAATGTTATAGAAACCCATAAATTAAACCCCCTTTATTTGTTTAAATGCACCAAATAATAAACCCTATAAATCCGTCCAACACTCACCACCATTCATTAAGAACAAGCAAACTGTTCAAGCCAGCTTATCATCATTTATAGGTGGCCTAAGAGGGCTCACTCAATACAATAACAATTTATTTTTCTTCAATTTGTTCAAGTCTAAAAGAAGTGACTTAGTTTGATAATGAGGGCATCTCCTTTGAGCTCGTTGTTTCTTGTTTTTCTCGCCATTTTTATATCTAAAAGGTAAATATATTATTCCTCTATTTTTTTCTTTTTCAATGTTTTGTATATCTAATTTTGCTAGTTGAAAAATAAGGTCGTTTTCCATCATCTAACTAGTGCAACATAGCTTTTAATATGCATAATTGACAGCCAAGAGAATAATTGCCAAAACTAAATATAAATTTTAGTTAGGCATTAATTTTGAGATATAATATTTATTATTTTCATTTAATATACTCCCTGTTCAATATACATATAGATCATGTGCTCTATGTGAATCTTATGATCACAACGTACGTAGAGCATTTGTGTATTAATCATCACTCAAAAAAATCTGCCAAGCAGTGAATAATCTTGAAATGAGATCATGTGTTCATTTAGCTTGGTCTTTTCTTGCATTTTTCTTGAGTCATATATCTCAAAGGTATCAATCAATTTCATCTCATAATCTATATTAATTCCTTTTTTTTTTTTCCAGAAAATTATAGTGATACTATAATCTTGTAACTATTTATGGTCTAAAATTTGTGTTAGCTTTGGAGCATTAGAAACAGAGATTGCTGCTAACACACCACCAAGAGGATGGAACTCTTATGATTCCTTCAGTTGGATTATCTCCGAAAAACAGTTCATTCGAAACGCAAACCTCGTTGCTCGTCGCCTAAAGCAACATGGATATGAGGTACTAATTTTGTCGTAGTATAAATATATCATTTCATATTAGTTTTTTTGTCGAAATGAATTGGATTTTGTTAAATTTTTGTTCAATAGTATGTGGTGGTCGATTTCTTGTGGTATCGTAAAAAAGTGAAGGGAGCAAACACCAACTCATTTGGATTTGATGTTATCGACGAGTGGGGAAGAATGGTGCCCGACCCTCAAAGGTGGCCTTCATCTAACGGTGGAAAAGGGTTCGGTAAAGTAGCTCAAAAAGTTCATAGTATGGGCTTAAAATTCGGTATTCATGTCATGAGAGGTATCAGTACACAGGCATTCTATGCAAACACACCCATCCTCGACATAACCACGGTATTTGCTTGGAAAATCTTGATTTGGGCTATCCTTTTGTTAAAGATTGTCGTTATTAGTCTGTTTTCTCATGTGACTTGGTTTTTATCGTGAATCTAAACCTCAAAAGTCGAGAAAGAAGCTTAGTTTGGATCTTTATCGAGCTTGGCTTGATTATTAACCGAGTCTATGTTTTGTGATATGCAAATCTAAATATGAGCATTAAATGTAGGTTCTCATAATTTTATTTGTCTACTCTTTGAATAGGGCAAAGCTTATGAAGAAAACGGGCGAAAATGGTATGCTAAAGACATAGGACTAAAGGAGAGGACTTGTGCATGGATGAATAACGGTTTCATGAGCGTAAACACGAAATTGGGAGCTGGACGAGCGTTCTTGAGATCACTCTATCATCAATATGTCGAATGGGGAGTTGATTTCGGTACTTTTTTTTTTTTTCATATTTTTCATTCATAAAGACGAAATCTTTAGGCTTTTGATGATATTTTTGACTACTTTTTTTCAAATATTTCAACTTGTTTATGTTGTGCTTCTCTCTCACGACAGTTAAGCACGACTGTGTATTTGGTAGGGACATGGATCTTGACGAAATAACCTATGTTTCAAAGGTATGCATATAAAGCATTCAAGTTGAAATAAATTTCAGTTGAATGTATATATATATCTTGGATTATGAGATGAAATTAACCTTGTCCTGGTGTGAAATTTCGTGCAGGTCTTAGAGGGTTTTAACCGAACAATCTTATATTCGATATCTCCTGGAGAAAAAGCAAACCCGGCCATGGCAAGGCAAGTAAGTGAGCTCGTCAACATGTACAGAATCACCGGAGATGACTGGGACTCGTGGCCAGCTCTGATAAGTCATTTTAGCATCACTCGGTAATTTGTTGTGTTATATTAAATTTTTCTCTTTTATTTTCTGCATTTTATGCATGTCTTTTCAAATTACCTTTTACCATTCTGTTAGGGATTTTGCTGCGGCTAATATGATCGGAGGAAAAGGACTGCGTGGAAAGTCTTGGCCTGACTCAGATATGCTTCCGTTAGGATGGCTTGGTAAAGAAGGTAACAGAGGAATAAAATGTCAGTTTGAGTAACAAAAAACCGGTTTTCGTATATATGTATCGGTTGATCGAACTTAATCTCGAATAGTTAGATTCTGAACTTGATTTGATGATGATTTTGCTGTTGATAGGTGCAAATACTGGCCCTTACAGAAAATCAAATCTTACTTTAGGTGAACAGAGGATTCAGGTACTTATTTAGGTACTTATTTATTACAGATGCATCTCTTTTAATAACAAAATGCAGTTTTGTAGTTCCGAAAAATAACTAAATGTCTCGATTGGAGGAAAAAGGTTACGCTATGGGCAATTTCCAAGTCGCCTCTCATTTTCGGAGGAGATATGAGAAAACTCGACAGCTCGACATACAGTTTAATCGCCAATCCTACTCTTTTAGAAATAAACTCCCACAGCTCAAACAATATGCAGGCAATATATATATATGCTTTTTTTCGAATGACATTTTTGGCACGTAAATCGATCCACTTGTTTTACCGTGACTAATCACCACAATACTTGTTGCTAATTTTGCAGTTCCGACACATTTCGAGTCCGCAACTTAATAACCAAACCGAAGCGAAACTGACGGTGCCCCTTACACTCGATCTTACCGATTGCGAAAATATTGCTGCCATAAATGGATGGTTTGTGGCGAAGACTAACAGTGGTTTTGAACAAGTCTGCTGGAACAAAACTTCAAGTCACGGGAAAAACGAGCCGTTTTGTCTTTACAAAACAAAACCGCGCCTTTTGATGTAATAATGTGATTAATTTTCTTTCGAATCATTTCGTGCAAGTAATATGATGATCACAAAAAGCGACTCTAAATTTTTTTTTCTTTAACGGCGATAATTGCAGAGAAGACGATGTGATCTATAAACGAGACTATAATGGGAAAGTCCATTTATTGAAGACACAAACGAAGGAGGTTTGTCTCGGAGGTTCTCCAAATCAGAAAGGCACTTCCAAAGAAGCACAAATCGGTTCATTTTCACCTTGTGGATTGGATTCTAACCAGGTGACCCAAAATTTAAGTTCTACTCCCTGAAAAGTTATCTTTTTACGAAATGGTATTCATATTTACGATCCAAACTAGATGTGGGAGCTCACGCATGACGGTACCTTGAAGAATAGCTACTCTGGTTTATGTGCAACTATGAGGGCAGCACAAGGTGAAAATTCGAAAGAAAAAAAAAAAAAATTGTAGCTATTTTCATGTCTCGTTTTTTTTCATTAGTTTGTTTTTGTCATCTTAGTTTTGTTAACTAATCTTTTTCCACAGCTTACGAAGGTCCCCATTTGATTCGTGCTTGGGTTGCCACCGGAAGAAGAGGTTTGGTTTGGCTTTTCTTGAACTCGTAGCAATTTGACGTGCATTTCTGTACTTAAAACAATTCGATTGTGTTTATTATTGCAGGAGAAATCTATGTAGCGATTTTCAATTCGAACCACCATGAATCCGAGGTGTCGATGAGGATAAAGGACTTGGGTATGGTGCTTTCTGATAGAGATTTTGAGGGTGCTTCATGCAAATGCAGAGAAGAATGGAGTGGAAAGGATTTTGGAGTAGTAAAAGACACACTTTCTATAAAATTGGATATGCATGATGTTGCTCTTTTTGTGCTTGACTGCACATTTAACTGAGTTTCATGGTTGTCTTGGGATAAAAGATGATCAATGTATATAATTTACTGTATCTCAATTTTGAAACGTGTGGGAAGACAAGTTATTAAAGAAGAACATGGAGAAAAGAAATGTAATGAAATGCAATTATGAAGAAATAATGAGTGATTGCTTCATCATTTCAACATATACAAGATTCCTCAATTGTTGATTTGAAAAAAAGATATTGTAATATTGGCGAGCAAGTAAATATTATTATAGTTGACTAACTAAATTGACTATAGTTATTTTCTTGGAGAAAAAAATTGAAAATTCTTTCGGAGTATATGTAATTTTGTTAAATTTTAGCAAAAATTGCCTTAAGAACCGATTTTATGAATCATCATTAAGCCAAAAAAATATGTTTTTTTTTTTTTTTCAAAATTAACATTCCGGGCCCAAAAGTTATTCAATTCTCTATTTATTAAATAATTAAAGTGAAGAATTCAAAAATATATTGAAAATGCTCTACCTATTTGAGATAAAGCGTTAAACAAAACAAGTCATTTGTAAACTCGACTAACTCAACATAATTCAAATTGATTGGGCTTGGCCAAACTCAAACTCATTTAAGGGCGATTTATTTAATGAATCGAGTTTGATTTGACTTACTAAAACTTATTAAACTTGACAAATACGAGTTTTTACGTAATTCTGTAATTCTCTAAACCTTTTACCATTATTCAAATTGTTAAAGCTAGAACTTTAACTTGACAATACTCGAGCTAGAGTATTAAGAGGTGACGCTAAGCTCGATTCTCGAGCATTACTTGACATCAAGATATTATAGAATTAAACAATTTAAATGTAGTGTTGTCAAATTAAACGAGTCTGGCTCGACTCGAGCTCGAGCCGTTAAGGATTGAATTCGGCTCGACTAGTTTAGTAAACGAGCCGAGCTCGAGCTCATTTAAACCTCGTTTGGTTAAGGAGCCAAGCTCGGCTAGACTCAATAAGACTCAAAAAGTGAATAGTAATATAATTTTCTAAAACTCGGTTCATTAAAACTCGAGATCGGCTCGTTAATGCTAGAACTCGACTCGTTATTAATGATAAACGAGCCGAGCTCGAGCTCGAACTCAATTTCAAGCTCGTTTATTTAATGAGCCGAGCTAGACTCGGCTTGTTAAGGATTCGAGCTCGAACACTCTAAACTCGAACTCGGCTCATTTACATGCCTACTCAAATTTAAGGTGAATTATAACATTAAAAAAAAAAGTAACAAACATCTCATGTTTTTCAACTTGCCTTATCTAGAGCTAAAACCCAAGACCGTGAGCCAAGCACTAGGGTTTATCTGGTTTCAATTTTCAAAACTTATCCCATTCCCCTGCAGCGAACAGATAAAACACTTGTTTACAAGTTACATCTCCTCTTCGTAAGCAAGCAATGGCCATGGCAGACGCAGGCGAGAGCCCGAGACCAAACGACGATAACAAGAACAGCAACAACACAAAGCAGAAGAGCCAAAAATGGATGCCAAACCCTCGTGAGCTGGTGGCCCACTACGAGAAGCAGGGGATGGAGACCCAGGACGCCTCTCTCAAAGTCATTCAGGATTTGCAGGGCGCCCTTTTCAGGGTCATCTCCTCCGGCCGCCGCAAGTTGACAGACACCGCCTCCGCTAAGTCGACGGACACCGCCTCCGCTAAGTCGCCGGACATCACCTCCGCTAAGCTCAACGCCATCCATTCCCGCCTCGTCGCCCTCGAGATGAAGTTGGATTCCAAGCCCAGCTACCCGCAGGCCGTTGCCGTTGGGGTTGCCTCCGCCGGAATTTGGAATGCGGTGGTTCAGCTGTGGGGCTTCGTTAAGCGGGCCAATTCATCGTCCCCGTAGTCTGGCGCCGGGGAATTCGTACGGCGGTGTGGGTTGTTTTCAAATATTATCTGTTTTTTTTAAGAAAAAAATCACACCTTTTTGTATCTATTGACTCCCAAAGGTCTGTTTTGTGGTCACTGAATTAATGTTGTTCGGAGAATTGTTCTTAGTTCTGGTGGTATCTTAATGTATTTGTGGGATTGGAGAATTATTAAGTCCGAACTCTATATGAACCGGCATTTCTAAATCGCAAATGTATTTGAATTATATTTGTGTGTGCGTGCTTATTCGTTTACCTGTTTTCACGCACTGTGACATGTTTTGTTTGTAATTGTCCCATTTTGTAGAGCCTTGATTAAATTCAAGTTTCGATTGTGCATAACGATGCCTCTTTTCACATTTGAATGGTAACACAAGTTTTATGCTGTAATGCTGTTGGCCATGTTCTTCCACTGCTGTTATAAATTGTTATTACAGTTTTTTTATCTATCTAGCTGACCATTTTCTTGGAGAAAATGCTGACGGTACAGATGTGAAATAGAGGTAAAAGATAACAGCTGCCTTGAACAGTGGAAAATATAATTTATTTGCAGATTCTTGCTGCAGTTGTTTTCATCTGCTCGGCTGAAATCTTTTCATTACACATATTAGCGATCGCCCGTGTATATTTCATTCCGTACCTCGTGAGGGGTCCACAGTGTTCCTCATATATTTTCACCTACGAGCAAAAGGTATGAAGGATATCAGGACTCAATTAGTTGATTGACTTGCTAAATTTGTCTCTATATCCTAATGCTATTTTATGTGCTTGCAACCAGTGGCGGAGTGGCCCGTTTACATAGTGAAACTGATACTGAAGGTGCATTTAACTTACAAATGTCTTGAGGCAGCTCCAGTCATCAACAAGCGGCTGTCCACCGGGTCGAACGTTGCGCAACACGTTAATACGTTTGGCTCCAAATAGAAGTTTGCTTATTTTCTTCATCTTATGATCTATAAGCTTCCTGCTCGTGATCTTGTCGAGTAACTGCTTCTGGGCTTTGTGCCACCTTGTAGAATGTTTCGGGGCTCTACGGAGCTGGTGGAAGGAAAGAGAAAAGAATCCAAGGTGATTCTTTTATAAACTNNNTTCCTAAAGAGCAATTTTGGTTACAAATTACAGTGGGTATATTTTGAAGTAAGAAACCTTTTCCTGGTAATGGAGGAGGTCTGCTTCCCTCTGGCTTACTGCTCTGAATGCTGATGGGGTGTTAAGACTCTGTTTGTTCCGAGTATAATTATCGTTCAGTGAATTGCTGCCTATAAAAGTATCTAAAAACTCCCCACTGAGAGCTGAGCTCCCGTATTGCATAACGTGAGAACTGCCTTCCGCATTTTCTAGTGCTGTCCTCCTTCTGACCTGTGCCGATCAGAGTAAACCAATCATATTGTGTTCTGTAATCTGAGAGTTATACAGATGAAATTTACTTACCACATGAAGCTGCTGGCCCAGAGTTTCCGACCGTAAATCGTGTTTTTCACTGCATGAAGAAGGGAGTGAATGTGAAAAAAAAAAAAAAAANATTTTGGTGCGAAGAGGAACATAAAATAGAAACTTAAAAAAAAATAAAAAAAAAAGTACAGAGAAAAAGAATTTACCTGTCTTCAATCCAGGAGATGCTGTACACATCACCAAGACACACGTCGTATGCTTGGGAAATGTACGGAAAGTCATCAGGACAGTATGTTGCGAAGCTGTCCTCAGTCGCGTTTGCTGCCGTGATTGCGTAAATGTTCATATTTTCCGGAAGAAGCCCCTCGAACATGCTCCCTGATTCACAGGCTTCGAGGTAAAATACCTGTTATCATCATCAATCATATGCTGGGATGTTAGTATATACCATTATCACTAGAATCATGCAGAAAGGAAACTAATTATGCTGACCATGCTTTCGTATGCATTTGCCTTGTGCTTTCGCTTCAGGACATCAACCAGATCATCGGCATAAACGAGCTCATCACCAGGCATTGCTGTCGACATATATACATCATGGATCAGGTGACTTTTATTGAATATTCCAAATAATGATTGAAAATGATAGGCAGTTAAAATCATGTGAGTGCATGAATAGTGAATTAAAGTTGATGGGATGTGTAAGAATGATTGAATGATATTATTTATATTGATAATATTGAAGATAGTGAGATTGAGTCAAGTAGAATTAGATTTTGAATTGAGATAGATTTTTTTCTAGAAATTTGATAAACAAGCACGGCCTTAGTTATCAGAGACCCGAAAAGTTATCTCGTGTGTGTGTGTGTGTATGACTAATTGTTTGGAGTACTAACCAACCAAACCGGGACCTCCATGATCAGTATAATATATGAAAATGTGATCTTTTGGACCACTATCCACCACCTTCCCACTTCCTCCGGTGAGAGCACTTTTGTTCCCAAGTATTACTGCAAATAGGTTTTGTACATTGACATCCTTTCCTGTATAATCCTGAAGTAGATAAGAGATTTACGTATCTAAACATCAACCAAGTCTAGGTAGCTACTAATATGAAACTCATTGCACCCAATTTCAAAAGTTATCACCTTTGGGACTCCCTCATAGACATTTTCACCATTCGGGCTGTTAACGATAACACCCGGCCTAGGATTGTCTGCATCAGACGCTATATCATCGTACATGAATACTATGATGTTATCTTCTTTCAGTCCGCCTTTCTTGAGAATTTGAAAGGCATGGCATACATCGGCCTGAGACGAAAATCCTTAAAGAGTAAGGATATTCTTTTAACTGAAATATAGACACACAAAATACATATATGNAAAAAACTACCGATCAAACCTGATGTCTGTAATTTTCATAACCGCGCGACCCTGCAACCAAAAGAGCCCACCTCGTACCTTCTTCTACGTCTCTAGGGTTACTGGTCTTGCTCTCGAGGAATTTGGATATCTTTTGGTCGTGCAAAAGCTGCTCACGGACGATAGAAGAATGTCCTATTCCGAGGAAGAAGAGTGCTCCAAGAATGTGATGAATCATTTGAGACTGTAGAAGAGAAAAACCTCTATTGCTTTTAGTAATATGATTTGGGGTATATATATATACATGAAATAGAAGAGAGAGGTGAGAAAGGAGTCAAATCTTTTGGCAAGGGTCAAATGATGGATAAGAACAAGCCATAACCACAAAGTGAAAAAATTTATGGGGGATTTTAGAGTAGATTTGGTCGAGTTGACAAATTGGGATTGTTTGAACAAAGTGGTATGAAAAAACTCAAAAGAAGAAAGTATACACCTTTCCATGTATGGCCTTTGTCCAGGTATAGGAATAGGATAAAAACTTAGCCTCGTGCATATGGCAGTATTATTTGTATTTGCACTAGTTTTCTAGAACTTATTGTTTTTATGTAAACTCTTACAAAATCGATAAACTTCATATTATCTTGATTATTTTCAGTTGACACATGATATTGAGCAGGTCTACAAGAATGGACAAAGTTCTTTTGTTGGCTGAAATTTGGGAAAGCACACCTCCTCTACAGATAACAAATAAAATTGAAGATGGCATAAAATGCTGTCTTCAGAACTGTAACGAATAAGTTCAATTATTCTCTCTTAACAATCATTTGGTGGATGGTCAAGTTGGAAAACAATAACATAAACACTCCGCAATTTGAGACCAGCTACATCACCTCAAAATTGAAGGTCATCATCAAGAAGAAATAGTACAAGTTAGCACAAAATATTTTACTGAAATATAGCATAATCTTTCCATGGGAAAACCAGCCCTAGAACATGGGCTCATACTTCATAGTGCTGCTACTACACACACACACACTACACACTAACTAGTAACTACATATACAATGTACAGGTACACTATTAACTAAAACAGAGGATCAGAGCCAAGTGCCTTCGAACAAGGGACGGGTCGAGTTAGGCGCAATCTCCCCAAAAGTCTCCAGCAGATCCGAGCACTCCCGGGCTCCACCCTCCTGCGGGTCGGGCTTCAGTTCAAGGCCCAACTCCTCCTCTATGTCATCAGATGCAGATATCAGCAGAATCTCACACCCTTCATAGTTGAGGAAATCTGGCGGGTCAGCGGGGCTGAACCGTTTACCATGGCCCAAAATACCCTGCAAACGGGCCGGAAAAGCCGCCTTCCTCTTCTCACTCAGCCCACTGAACCCAGATGAACGACTTCCTCCAGAAGCTTCCGGATTCTTGATCTGGATAATGAAGGAGGCCTCGCATGCGATGCTTAGGGCTTGTTGAGGTTCGCCTTCTTTCTCCGGGTATTCCAGCTTGTAGATCAGGTGCGTGTGCATTTTTTGGCTGCCGTTTTTCGGTTTGTGCCTCAATATACGGTAAATGCCTTCCCCTGCAGCTCTTGAATCGGGCAGGTGCCTGTGGCCTCTTGTTGCAGTCTCGTACTCTTCTGAGTAAATCGAATACATAACATTATTAGGCACAATTTATTGAGTCAATACTCTTGCTGAAAAAAAGAAGCAACTTGAATGCTGTACAAAATTCACCTCCTTTGAGAGCATTCTTGATGTGCTCGATTTTCGTGGTGACCAACTCCACGAAACCCCAATAGGGAGATGATGATATCTTCTTCTTCTTCTCGTGGGTTTCCGGAAGGCTTTTCCGGCCCATGACGATTAGACGAAGCAAGGGCTGCCGCTCGATGTTCACCTCCTGGCTGCCGTGGCCCCCGCCACCCTCCGGGCGACCCTCCTCACGGCCCTCGTTATTAGCCAACCCTTCTTTGCCGGATTTTGGATTTTGTTTCTCCTCGACCGGTGTTTCGCCGGATTCCGGCCGCAGAACCAGGTAAAGGCGTTGTACGTCCTCCGCTCCATGAGCCTCCTCTCTGTTCACTTTCGGTCTGTAAAAGAAGAAGATTTCCCCTCTTTCCTGTTTCATCATTTTTTCAATAAAAAAAGATCATCAATTCATTTGCACTGCGTAGAACAAGGTGTGTAATGTATCGATCAAGATTCACGCTCAAGTGTGTGTGTGTGTGTGTTTACCTGAATTTCAACAGTTGGTTGGTCTCTTGTTTTCTTTTCCTCGCCTTGTCCCATTACAGTTGGTTGTGTGTGAGGAGAGGTTTTGCAGATGATATTTTTATGTACAGAAAGGCGGTGAACTTGAGAAGATAAAAAAATAGATGAAGTAGCAGAAATTGGACACGTGGCATGAATACTGTTTATTCATTAGGGAGATGACACATAGCACTCTCACCGCCAGCTCATCCTATGTTTTTCCTAAGGTGGTTTGGGTACTCGGCCTTAGAGATAATTCAACACAAAAAGGAAAACGCAACTAAAATAGCTAAATAAAGAAAACCACAAAAAATATTGTTACAAAAATAACGTAACAATATATATTTATAATATATATTTTATTTTTTATAAATTATAATATAATAAAACACCTCTTGGCTTGGTTTTGAAGTTCAACCATTATCAACTGTAAAGTTCTGTCTCAAGCTCTGTTTTCGTAGTTGGGTCTTTTTGTTATCTAACACAACTCTAATATGAAGCTCCACTTCCCCTAACATCTTCTCTTGTTCCTCTAATATCTCCTTTGCAGAAAGCACCAGAAAGTCGTTACAATATTCCACAACGATCTCCCTAAGCTCACTTTTCCTCGGAAAAATGTAATTGTAAGGGCCTCCAGATTATGTAGTCGGCAGAGATTTTCTAGACCGTAATCAGCCGGTGATAAAGATAATTCCTCCTCGTGGTATTGTATTCCGAGCTTGTTGATATTGGGGATTCTCTCAACCACTTTCTCACCCAACCTCAAGTTACATACAGTCTTGACCGTCTCTAGCTTATTCTCCAACACCATACAACCATTTTCGAATTGAAGAGGAGGAGGATTCCTTGAATATATTAAATAATTTATTTTCGAATGTATTTCATGACTTGCTGAATGCTGATACGGCATTGGGCACGCCAGCATTGTAGCAGAGCACGTGGGCTCGGATGAGGCTTTCCAGCTGGCGAGGTGCCGGTTCAGTTGGTGGTTACTGGTATTCAAATTAACAAACTGGCAAGAAAGATCAGCTCCCAATCACCTACTAAAATACCAAAAACTGTAGTGAATCGCACATTAACGTACATCAGTCGTGCGTTTTAAGAGATGTACAAGAAAATTAAAGGATCCATAAGGATCAAGTATGAGTACTGTGTGACCAAAATTTCCCAATTCCTTCCATAATCTAAAGCTAACACAATGCAGGGGTTAACAACATCTATATTTACAGCCGTTGTTAAACTTCTCCCTTTTTTTTTTTTTTTTTTTTNTTTTTCATGCACCACAGTGTCTTCTGTGGATGATTAATGTTAATCCACCAATTTTGACAATTGCAGCAGCCTTTTTTTGTTGAAAATATGGAGTACACAATTATTGAAAAAAAGGTGCACTCTTCCTCTATAAATAGAGGAGCAAACTTGATGAAAAAACACACCAAATACACCAAGAACAACATCCAAAAGAGAAAAGAAAGAAAGAGGGTGTGAGCAAGTAGCAAGAATTTTAGCTTCTGTGTGTATTTGAGTTGTGAGTTGTGAGTAAGTTTGAGAGTGTATTGTAAACACGAGTGTATTTTATTCTCCTAATAAAATATATCTGCAGTAGTTCGCAGAAGTAAGCATTATTGGCCGAACTCCGTTATCAATTTGGTGTGTCCAATTTTTTGCTTTTATTTCACTTTTATAGATATGACTTTATGAAAAATTTAACGTATTTTTCCAATAATTAAATAATAATATGACATTATACAAAAATTAAGATAATTGAAGAAACAATTTTGTAATGTAATAGACATGTGCAACAGATATATGCCCTTTAATTATTTTTAGTATTCCTAATGTTTTGAGTTTATGTTTCATATTTTATGTACTTAATTTGACCGATCTACATAAAAAAAATCCATAATTATATAAAACTAGTTTTTGAAGACAATGCATTAAAAATTAAACTAAATTTACATAATAATTTATATATATTATCTAAATATATTTATATACATACATATATAAAAAAAAAGTAAGAAAATAGAATGAGAAAAAATTATTATTTACTCCAAATAAATCTTAAAATGTAACTTGGTGACTTATTATTGGACTCTCATAGTGGGTAACACAATGAAAAGATAAATAAAAAATGTGTGTGAAGTTATTTTCTTAAAAAATTATTTAACATGAAATACCACATGTTAGTTCATTTTTCCCGCATTAGTTTGAAAAACATTATGTTGAAAAAATAGAAATATGAAAAAAGTTGTCAACAACTATTTCAAACACCAATTACATGACATTAAAATGAAGAACTAATAAGTCGCTTATTCTTTTCAAAAAAATAAAAATAAAAAAATAAGTCGCTTATTAAATATAAACATATTATATAAGTTGACATCCAAAATCTGAAACTAATCAAAAAATTGCATCTATTAACCAAACTAAAATATCCACTAAACTAAAAATGAAAAAAAAAAATATCCAACATATAAAATGGAAAGAAATGTAGAGATATAGTAGGAGTAATTTGGTTTATCTAAAATATCCCCTAAACTAACAAATGACAATTAAGCCATTAAAAAATTAAAATTGTAAGGGTAATTTGTTTTATCCAAATATTTACAAAAACATTAACACTTTTAAGTTAGTAAAGGTAGAGATAGAGATAGAGAAAATACCAAGACCACTGAACCGGCGAGAAAATAAATCAAGCCTTATCGACTCACTATTATTTACCGAAGGCTTATCAGTTCCGTAAAGTACCGTCCGATATCTGGTTCGGTTTTAATCGAACCAATAGGATTAAAATAAATTATTAATAATAAATATTATGTAGATCCGTGTAAACTTCGTTAGAACAACACCAAAAGCTAGCACACCTGAATTTAGGATCACAAAGCACACAATAAGATAGTTAAATAGCATCACACGCAATACAATACCAGGTAAATAGCATCACACAGGACAGTGAGATTCACAATTTCACATGGATGTATTAACAATGTCATCTTGCACCATTTAAACGACAATGGAAGACAAATTAAAGTAAGAAAACTTGCACACTAACCTTTNTTACTTTATTGAAATCTAGAACACGAAGAGATGTTGAATGTGCATGTCAACAGAAACAGAACTGGGTATGACGAACGGCACCCTGTAAACTGGGGTGCACATTGGTAGCAGTGTTCACATTTAATATGATTTTTTTTTTTCAATTTTACATCAACATTCTAACATCCAAATGAATTCATTATTGTACAAATTTTCTATTCAAAAACGGTTATATATTGAGTTTTTTTACCAAATTTAACATTTTCAACTAAAATGCTAATGAAATAAACAGATTACCAAACAAGCAAGTTCAAAGCTCTAATAAATAGCTTACATACTGATACAGGCAATCTGTTTAATTATAGAATAATGCACTAACATTAAAACAAGCAATAGAGATGAGATAAAACTTAAATGGGTGAATCAATTATTTTGTCAGGGTGATCCGACATACTCAACTGTAAAGTTTGGAGTACTCTTGAAGCTCTCTTCTCGTAGTTGGGAATGTTGGGTATATATCCGAACTTTTATCTGAAGGCCGACTTCTCCAAGACACTCCTGTTGTTCCTCTAATATCTTCTTTGCAGAAAGCACGGTAGAGTCATTACATTCCACCACATTGATCTCCCTAAGCGTGGTTATATCCCCAATTTCCAATGCAATCTCCTTCAGCTTGTGTAGATAAGACAAGTCGAGCCTCTCGAGGCTCGGGAAGTGCGTGGCCTCCACCCTCCACTGTTGAAGATCTTTGCAAGAAAAGATTTCCAAGTATTTCAGGCTCGGGAATCCGCCATCCGCTGTTTCCCAATCGGGCCCCACAAACGCTTCATACCGTAGCTTGAGGGCCTCGAGATTTGGCAACGAGCTTATCTTGGTCCCCATCTCCTCCCACCCCAGCCTCGTCCCTTCCAGAGTAAGCTTCCTGAGCAAAATAGGGAACAACGTTATCTCAATTGGTCGAGAGAGTGATGAAGAAAAGTCTGAAATTGAAAGGCCCTCCAGCTTGCATAGCCTACGGAGATTGTCGAGACCATAATCACCCAGTGATTTTATTCCAAGCTTCTTGATATTGGGGATTCTCTCAACCACTTCCTCGCTCAACTTTTAGTTACCTATGTCCTCCAATGTCTGTAGATTCTCCAACACCATCTGATCACCATTTTCTTCATCCATTGGAGGAGGATCCGTGAGATGGAAACCGTTTACCGTGACGTGCCTGAGTTGGGGCATCCGCCAGATGTCTAACACCGGCCAGTACCGCCACTCCAGGATAAACAAACTACTAAAGTCCGTAAATTCCAGAGTCGGTAAAATTCTGGAGGAAATTCACGCGCCGGCATTCTAGTTTTGGTATCCAGGTGGCGCAAGTTAACCAGATGAAATCCTTGACCCCCGCCGTAGCCTTTATCAATCAGAACCCTAAGCAGTCTAAAAGGAACTACAGATTCTAAACGTCCTGTAACTTCCCTTATCAGAGTTCGTGCGCGTGATGCCGATTGCACAGCTCCAGGGAGGGGACGGGGAATGTATTCCCCCTCTGATAAAGCATGGTGAATGCCGATACGGCGTTGGGCACGCCAGCTTATTTGGTCGTGATGCTCAGGGTTGTTGTTGTGCGTTTTTGTTGTTTCCATCGTGCGAAAGAAATTGTATTTCTCAGCTTCTTTTATGCATAGGTCTCTCAGGAGATCGTGGATGCCGCAGTATTTTATTCTTCCAGTGCAGTCCCACCCGCAAACCATGACTAGATTTCTGATCACGAGATCGTGTAGGTACACTACTCGAGCAATCGTTTCCAAGCTTTTACCGGCCACCGGTTTCACAAATCCTTCATCAACCCATAGTTTGAGGAGCGTGGGGATGCGAATCTCATGGTCCTCCGGGAACATGCCCATGTACAGAAAACACGGCTTCAGGTGTACCGGCAGTTGGTTGTAGCTCAACTTTAGTATTCTAAAGCAACGTGTGTCTTATGTGGGTTTATTTACTGTTGAAATTCTAGATTTATTTTCATTTGTTAGTCTTACTCAGTAACACATAGCCGTTGTTTTCTGTTCCTATTTTTTAGCATTAGATAAGTAGTTGAGTCCATTTAGGAGAAATTTGTTTAGCTGTTTTTTAGGAAGAGTTTGTTATATTTTAGCTTTTAAATAAGCACTGATGTAACTGGTTTTACATCTAAGTTTTAATAAAAGAGTTTATCCCAGAAACTTGCTTTATGCATACCTGCTCTCTTTTTATTATGGTATCAGAGCCTCGATTCATTAAAGTTCTTTCTTCCTTCTTGATTATTGAATATTGAGTTTTTTCACAGACTTGCTAAAAGTAGTGAAGTGAGATGGAGTTATTAAATGGAGGGAATGGTTCTAGTACAGGGGTTGAGAAGCTTGTAGGGACAAACTACAAATATTGGAGAATGTGTATGGAGGCATATCTTCAAGGACAAGACCTCTGGGATTTAGTTACGGGTATTGATGTCATTCCTATAGATACTCCAGAGAATGTTGAACCAAGAAGGAAGTGGAAGATCAAGTGTGGGAAAGCTCTTTTTGCTTTGAGAACTTCAATCAGCAAAGAGTTCATTGATCATGTTCGTGATGTAAGTTCACCGAGGGATGTGTGGGAGACACTTGAGAGGTTGTTTTCCAAAAAGAACACAGCAAGGCTTCAACTCCTGGAAAATGAGTTGGCGACCTTGACACAAGAAGGTATGTCTATTTCTGAATATTTCTTGCGAGTTAAAAGCATTTGTGCTGAAATTTCAGAATTAGATATGGAGGAGAAGATCAGTGAAGCAAGGTTACGGCGATTTCTCATTAGGGGACTGAAAAAGGAATATAATCCTTTCGTTACCTCTATTCAAGGGTGGGCAACCCAGCCCTCAGTTGAAGAATTAGAAAGTTTGCTCTCTAACCAGGAAGCTCTAGCAAGACAGATGGCTAAAAATTCTGACGCTGAAGCGGTTCTTTTCTCTAAAGGAAAATCGACTGGTGGTGATGATTCTCCTAACAAAAGCACTGTGAGATGTTACAGGTGTGGTAAGATGGGGCACATAAAGAAAAACTGCAGGGTAAAGCTCTCCAAAGCAAATGTTGCAGGCGAGCATGAAGATGAGGACGACCTAAAATGGGAGCAGTGCTTTACTACGGAAGTAATTGACGGAAAGAAACTTGTTGATGCTGAATTATTGCAGGCTCTTTCTAATCATGACCTATGCAATGAGTGGATCATTGATTCCGGTTGCTCCCATCATGTGACTGGAGATGACTCACTGCTCTCAGAGGTGCATCAACACAAAGGAGAACGCGTTATTATTACTGCAGATAATTCAGCTTATCCGGTTGCAAAAGAAGGGGTGGCTAAAGTTAGCACTAATGACAATGTTGCTGTGGAGCTGAATGATGTCTTTCATGTTCCAGGTTTAAAGAGAAATTTAATTTCAGTTTCTCAAATCACAAACTCTGGAAAATATGTATTGTTTGGGCCAGATGATGTGAAAGTTCTTGAAAACATGAAAGGCATTGATGCTGATGTTGTTACCTCTGGCAAGAGGAAAGGTTCTCTGTTTGTCATGTCTGCAGGAGAGGCTTATGTGAAAAAGACAAGTCAAACTGATAATGCAATAATATGGCATGCTAGATTGGGTCACTTAGGCTTCCAGCTACTGCAACAAATCTCCTCAAGGAAGCTAATAGATGGCATACCAGATTTACAAAATGTTCGTGAGGATTTTATTTGTCAAGGATGTCAATATGGCAAGTCGCATTGTCTTCCTTTTGTGAAGTCATCAAATCGCAGAACATCTATGTTTGAATTGATTCATACAGACTTGATGGGACCTATGAAAACAGCAAGCTATAGTGGATGCCGATATGTCATGGTGTTGGTGGATGATTTTTCCAGGTATGCTTGGGTGAAATTCTTGAAGGAAAAGAGTGAAGCATTCTCAAAGTTCATTGAATTTACAACTAGTGTTGAAAGAGAATTTGGGGTAAAGATCAAATGCTTACGAAGTGATAATGGAGGAGAATTTTTGTCAGAGGATTTCTCCCAATATTGCAACAAAAATGGCATATCGCGACAAATGACATGTCCAAATACACCTCAGCAAAATGGTGTTTCAGAAAGAAAATTAGCCCAACTTGCCTCTGTTAGTCTCTCTTGGCTGCATGATAAAAGTCTTCCTCGTGAACTTTGGGCTGAAGCTTTCCAATGTGCATGCTATGTGATAAATCGCTTACCTCCATGGCCTGGTAAGGAAAATTCTCCTTTTGAGACTTTATATGATGATAAGCCAAATGTAAATTATTTTCGGATTTTCGGTTCAACTTGTTATGTACATGTCCCAAAGTCTAACTTAACCAAACTTGACCCGAAAGCAAAGAAATGTGTTTTTGTTGGCTATGACTCATGCAGAAAGGGGTGGAGATGTATGGACCCAGAAACAAAGAAGTTTATAACTTCTAGAGATGTTGTGTTTGATGAAGTTTCCTCATATCACTCTGAACAAAAATCCTTCACTAAACAAGTCATTATTGGTGGTGATCAAGAAAATTTTGAGGAAAGTGCTCAACGCAATATGGAGACATCAAACAATGGTGAATCTTCAGCTTCAAGCACTTCAATTGACGGTGATGAGCAAATTCAGAGAAGGTCAACAAGGGAGAGAAAACAACCTGGTTATCTTCAGGACTATGAGGTTCAAATCAATCCTTGTACTGTTACGACATGCTTCTTTACAGGTGCAGTAAATAAAGAACCAACATGTTTTGAGGAAGCAAAAGGCTATTCGGAATGGGAAGCAGCAATGCAAGAAGAGATTGATGCACTATGCAAAAATCAGACATGGGAGTTAGTCCCAAAACCAGAAAACTGCAGGCCTGTCTCTTGCAAATGGGTATACAAGTTAAAGATGAAATCTGATGGGACCATTGATAGATGCAAAGCACGGCTGGTTGCACGTGGATTTTCACAAAGTTATGGACTAGATTACGAGGAAACTTTCAGCCCAGTTGCAAAGATGGTAACTTTAAGAGCCATTTTTTCTCTTGCATCTTTTAAATGTTGGAAATTATGGCAGCTTGATGTAAAGAATGCATTTCTCTATGGAGAATTGGATCGTGAAGTATTCATGGAGCAGCCAAAAGGATATGTCTCTGAACAATATCCTCAACATGTTTGTCGTTTGAAGAAGGCGTTGTATGGACTTAAACAAGCACCACGCGCTTGGTATGGTAAAGTTGCACAGTACTTTATCTTCTGTGGGTTTCAAGTCTCTGATGCTGATTCTAGCTTGTTCATTAAAGTTGAATCAAATACGAATTTATTGGTCTTGTTATATGTGGATGACATGATTATTACTGGTGATGATGAAGCTGAAATTTCTAAGCTTAAAAATGAGCTATCAACTCGTTTTGAGATGAAGAATTTGGGAGAGGCTGGCTGCTTTCTTGGTCTGGAAATTGAAAAATCTGATGAAGGATATTTTGTATCTCAAAAAGGATATGCAAGAGAACTTGTGCAGCGTTTTGGCATGGGGGAGTCAAAGGTAAAGGCAACTCCAATGGAACCACATCTCAAGTTGGTGAAAGCTGAAGGGGAGCCATTAAAGGATGCCAAAAGATTTAGACAACTTGTTGGTAGTTTGATTTACTTAACTATCACAAGGCCCGAGATTTCACATTCTGTTGGCATCATCTCTCAATTTATGCAATATCCAATGACTTCTCACTTGGATGCTGCTAAGAGGATTTTACGTTATATCAATGGTACTGCTGATTATGGTCTCATGTATAAAAGAGGAGGTGATTTTATTTTGACAGGATTCACTGATGCTGATTGGGCAGGCGATATAGATGATCGTCGATCAACTTCAGGGTACTGTTTTAGTGTTGGCTCTACTGCAATTTCCTGGTGTAGCAAGAAGCAACCAACTGTTGCTTTATCAAGTTCTGAGGCTGAGTATATGGCAGCATCAATGGCAGCACAAGAATGCATTTGGCTAAGAAGGTTGATAGGAGATATCTTTGGTACAGTGGATTATCCTGTGCAGATTTCTATTGACAATGAAAGTGCTGTTAAACTTGCTTTGAATCCAGTCTTTCATGCCAGGACCAAGCACATTGAAGTCCGACATCACTTCATTCGAGAGAAGGTGTTAGAAGAAGCAATTGAATTGAATAAAGTATCTTCAAATGATCAAGTTGCTGACATCTTTACAAAGGCCTTGGGGAAACCAAAGTTTGAACTTTTTAGAGCTGCTCTTGGAGTTTTCAGCCATAAGCACGCACTAAGGGGGAGTGTTAAAAATTAGTGTGTCTTATGTGGGTTTATTTACTGTTGAAATTCTAGATTTATTTTCATTTGTTAGTCTTACTCAGTAACACATAGCCGTTGTTTTCTGTTCCTATTTTTTAGCATTAGATAAGTAGTTGAGTCCATTTAGGAGAAATTTGTTTAGCTGTTTTTTAGGAAGAGTTTGTTATATTTTAGCTTTTAAATAAGCACTGATGTAACTGGTTTTACATCTAAGTTTTAATAAAAGAGTTTATCCCAGAAACTTGCTTTATGCATACCTGCTCTCTTTTTATTACGCTCGTCCTCCTCTAAATTCACAATCGAGCTTAAATTTTCTAAAATGTGTTGCCAATTTTCCTGTGTTTGCTTAGACTTTGCTAGAAGTCCTCCAATCAGAACAATCGACAATGGATGGCCTCTGCATTTTCCGGCAATCTCCTTCCCAAGCGCTTCCAATTCCGGAGGGAACCCTTGTTCATGAAACACACACCTATGCAGCAGATTCCAACTTTCGTTATGGTTCAGTAAACTCATCTGAAAGTAATCTAGGCCATCCAGTTGCAGAGCCACTTTCGATAGCCTAGTGGTTATCAATACTCTGCTCCCGTCGTTATCTGGAAACAAGCGCTTCACCCTATCCCATGCCTCCATACTCCAAATGTCATCCATTACAATCAGATACCGCCGGCCGAATAAGCTTTTATACAGTCTGTCTCCTAATTCATGTTCGCTCAACATGTCCTCACTCCCAATGAGTTCCAAACAGCGAAGGACTTCTAATAAAATCCTTTTCGAATCAAATTCTTGAGATACTGTAGCCCATCCGCGCATATCAAAGTATTCCACAATAAGTGGATTTTCGTAAATCTTTTTTGCAAGAGTGGTCTTACCAATGCCGCCCATGCCGGCAATCGCGATGATCCGACGATTGTATTGTTGATTGGTCAGCTTATCCATGATGTCGTTCATCACACTATCGTTCCCTTCTGTAGAAGGACCGTTGAACTTATCCATGAAGTCGTTCATGACATCATCGGAGCTAACCGTGGCGTAATCCTCCGTACAAGGAGCAATTTTTTTCCCCGCCTTCTTCTCTTTAACAGCAGCCACGTCTTTAGTGATAGAATCCAAGTCGAACATCACTTTCTCTACCTCTCCATACAAAGAGTCATTGTTCTTTGAACTGATGTTAGCTTCCCCACGAGCCTCGATATGATCGGCAATGTGGGACTCAATTATATCCTCGGCTTCTTGAGCAGCATCAATCATACGCCCCTCCAACCCATCTGCATCATCAATGATATATTTTTCAAGAAAATCTTGCAAGAAAGCAACTTTTTCTATCAGTGGTTCGATTTTTAATTTGTCGAGGGAGATAGGTGGGCGAGGATGATTCAAGATTTGGTGTATGGTGTTGGTAAGTGAAAGAAGAGCTCCATAAGCTGCCATGGATCCCCTTTGTGAAATGAAATCCAATCAGCTTTAGATGACAAACTGTCTATGAGAAGTGAAGGCAAGAAGATTTTTCTCAAAGGCTTATGTGTGGTGAAGAAGAAAATGAAGACTCCGATGAAATGTGTGGATTTGATTATTTTAGAGCTAGACTTTGAGTAGGTACCATACAAACATTATTGTAAGTAGGCCTGCCATCACGACCCACCACAATGACCTTATAGTCAACATTCACGGGTACATATTTTTTATACTTTGCCAATAGGATTATACTTTGCCACTTCAACTCTCCAAAAAAAAACATATTTTTTTAAATGGATTATACTTTGCCACTTCAACTTTGCATCTCTACCGGCAGTGTGATTAGTTAATCTAAATGGTTCTTAGACAATAAATAATATTTTTTTCTTACTTATGGCTCCAAGTACTCGTAGGTACATATTAAATAAATGTAATTATAGATTCTTGTATGAAGGTATTTAATTATTATGCAGGTCAATTCGTCATTTTTTTTTTTAACGAAGGTGTACTTATACAATAATGTCATATTTTGTTTGTATTATTTGTACAGTATAACGCTTCATATTGAAAATATGTAATTTGCTGAAAAAATACAATTGTATAATTGTCTGTCTCACAGCAACTTAGTCCCATCAGTTAATTGTGAATTAAATGAATTAATCATGTTGTTGCTATCTTGCAAATTACAATTATGTTTTCAATTGTGCATGAATTATAAAATAATTATGTTTTCCACTTACAATTACAATTTATGAAGACACAAAACTCAAAAAAGTTGAGGACCAAATCGATCATAGCCACTGTTGTACAGTAAAGTACCTACTCTTCAAGATAATTAATTCGAATTTATAACATTATAATTTTTACGAATATAATTTTTTAAAAAATAAATAAAATTAGATTTAAAAAAAAATGTCCGGCCGGACGGACCGGAAGGCGTTCGGCCGACCGGTTCAGACGCACAAGACGGTCGGACGCCGCCATCTCCGTCCCTCTTCACCGGCCGGACGGCCGAAAAACGCACCTCATCAGAAGACATCTTCTCGTCGGAAAATCGTCTGGTACAGAGGATTCTACAATTTTTTAATTTTTTTGAAAAAATGACATAGGCAAAATGGTTCAAGGGGACGGTGACTAGTAATAGGGGAGTGGTGAATAGCAACACCCATTAAAAATGGCACTGCTCTTTGTCAGTTTTATGCTTGTCTAGGTGAGAATCGTTTGTTAACATTAGGATGTTCACAGTCCGGATTGGTCCAGTTTTAGCCCAAACCATGATCAAACCGGACCTAACGGTTATTTTTTTTTCTTGTCCATAACCGGACCGGTTTTATTTTTTAACCAACCACAATCCGGACCGCATTGGACAGTCCGGTTTGGCGGTTAACTGGTTCAATTCAAAATCCTTGTTTTGGGCCTTCAATTTTTATTTTTTTCATTTTGGGCTTAATTTTTATTTTTCAATTTTGGGCCCAAAAAAAGATTATTTGGGCCTAAAAATTAAGAAAAACAACAATAATGAAATAAAAAATACACAATTCGTCTCATAAGCATAAAAATACACATTTCGTCCCATAAACATAAAAATACCAAAATGATGAAGATTAAATTATGTAAACTGAACTCAAGCAAACATTCATTTTTCAGTCAGTTTATACACCTGAAATAATAAGAGAAAAACATTAATAGTGAATGTATTATATTTGTCGGCCATAGTGAATGACTTAATGTATATATATACTTGTTATAGTTTTTTAATATTTACCGGTCCAGTCCGGTTAAACCGGCGGTTTGCCGCAAGTAATCCGTTAACCGGACCGCTTATTCCGGATTTTTTAAAAAAAAATAACCACTGAATTTTTTAAGGCTTTTCTAACTGACCATTTAACCGATCCGCGGTTCGAATTGACGGTTTTTTTCAGTAAAAACCGGACCGTAAACACACTTAGTTAACATCNGTTAAATGGTTAATCTTTTAATATAATAATAGATTACAATTTTTTTTTTTTTTCCAAACGATAGGAATTCATTCATATCACTCAAAATGTATTTACAACCCGGGAGGTTAAGTAACCTCATATCAAAACAAGAGAGAACCGATCAACAGTCGGCCTACAATAACAAAATACATAACTAGCAGCTAGAGGCAAGAATACAACTTGGATCCTTCAGCCACCGCAATACATGATTAACTTAAGCCATCATAATAATGAAGTAAAATAATTCAACAAGCAACCTAGCTAGATAATGCAATAACCACTGAACCGTAATGGACCTAGCTACCACATTCCTAGCTAATGAGGAGAGCTTTTAGCCATTCTGAATTCCATCCACTCTTTCCATACACATTTGACCACTTCAATTTCTGGCATCAGGGTATTTTTGAATTTCTATAAATTTCAGGACTTCCAGAGCCACCACAAAATGTAAGTGGACAGTTGGAGTCTATCCTCTGAAGATGGTAGCCTGTTGATGGAGCAAGCTTCCCACCACCATTGCTTGAAATTTCCAGTGCTTGTGGCAATTCCATCCCATGTAACAGGTGACAGTCCCCATATACTTTTGGCTCTGGTACAAGAAAACATGAGATGCTCAACTGATTCCTCTGCCTCCCCACAAGTAGAACAGATTGAGTCTACATCCATTCCTCTTCTCTTTAAATTTTCCCCTACAGGCAATGTGTTAGTGTAGCACCTCCAAAGAAAGTGTTTAAGTTTACTTTTCACATTTAACTTCCAGCTTCTGTTTCTAATTTTTCTGTTCATTTCTGATCCAGTGCTGCTCTCAGGCAAATCCATTTTTCTCAATTTATCCTGCATCAAGTGTAAGTATGTCTTTGCCACATAAAATAACCCTTTCTGATCAAAGGACCATGTCCACTTGTCTCTGGCTGTTGGATCAATGTTTTTTATGCTCAAGATTCTAGCTTTCACTTGCTCATCAAAAAAAATGTCAATCACATCTTCTCTCCAATTTCTGCCACTTTCATCTATTAGTTCACCCACCCAAACAATGTCACAATTGTCCTCTGTTGTTCTGCTGGGAATTCCTGCACCTGGGCCTGGGAGCCAAGGTTCTTGCCAAATTTCTTCCACGCTCTCTTTCGATAGTTGGGTCTTTTGTTATCCACCGAAATAACCCCGATCATAAGAAACTATAAAGTATGGACTACGCTCTCTTCTTGTAGTTGGCTAATTCTGGGATTTATCCAAACTTTAATCTGAAGTCCGACTTCCCCAAGACAGTCTTGTTGTTCCTCTAATATCTTCTTTGCAGAAAGCACGATAGAGTCATTGCAATGCACCACCCTCATCTCCCTAAGCGTGGTTATATCCCCAATTTCCAATGGAATCTCCTTCAGATTGCGTAGATTGACTAGGTAAGTGCGTGGCCTCCACCCTCCACTGTTCAAGATCACCGCTGATTTTCAAGTACTTGAGGCTCCGGAATCCTCCATCGGCTGTTTCCCGCGAACGCATGATAATCTAGCTTGAGGGCCTCAAGATATGGCAACGACCCTATCTTTGTCCCCATCTCCTCCCATCCGAGCCGAGTGCCATGTAGATAGAGCTTCAAAAATCAAATTTAATTAGCATCACTATATGAAAAATTGTCCAGGAAAAAATACTATCAGCATTTAAAGTGCAATAGAATGAAATTGCATGCATAATCTACTCTACTACCAGAAGGCATTTGATAAAGAAACTTTTCATAAATCAGTGCTAGATAATTTAATTAGTTTATCATATTATAAATTTATTTCTTTCTTTTTATTTTCCTCTTTTTTTTGGCAAAAATGAATTTAGAGTTTTTTTTTTTAGTTTTTAACAAAGGGTTCTGTTTTGCAATTAGCCAATAAGGTAGTCTTAATAGTAAGCCTGTTTTATGTTCTCAGGCAGGTGTTTTGGCTGGAGATGTTAGCCACATTGTCGTTCTGGATGTGACACCACTATAGTTGCGTCTGGAGACTTTGGGTGGGGTGGTGACGAAGATCATTCCCAGAAACACAACGTTGCCCACTTCAAAATCCGAAGTTTTCTCGACTGCTGCCGATGGCCAGACGAGTGTTGAGATCAATGTGCCAGCAGCATTGAGGTAAAAAATTCGACATTGATGCTAATGGTTTTGTCTGTGACTGCCATCGATAAGAGAAATGGAAAGAAGCAGGATATCGCTATTACAGGTTAGTTTTGTTTTACTGGCCTTTCATGCTTAAGCACCTCCATGCATGTGAGATTGGAAGCTACTCATTGTTTTATATGGTTTAAATTCATGTCTGAGGTTCAGCTCTTTTCTATTGGTACATATATCGTTG